TGTATGGCCCGCATTAACCATGATTCCTCATCACTTCAATGTGGGTTGGAAGATCTGGTGGAATGGTCTTCATCCAGCTCTCTTATGCTTAATGCTTCTAAATGCAAGGATGTAATATTTTCTTTTCTATGTGGCGATAAGTTGCAGTCCGTCGTCGCTTTCTCCCTCACACTTACTGTGAATGAAAATCCTATACCCAGCTATTCCACCGTCAAATGCCTCGACATTTTTTGTCACAGAACCTTTCTTGGTCCGCGCACGTCTGTAAAACTTTTCAAAAAGTCAGAAACTTTTTTATGCCCTCAGACTTAAGGTGCTTTCAGTACCTGGTACTTTAATATTCAGATTTGTGACCTCTTGTACGAGGGTCATTCAATAAATAAAGTGAATTTTTCGGTATAACGTCTTCTAATACAGATAGAAGCTTACTATTTGTTTATTTTTGTTGTTTTACTTCTTTTTCACATGGATGTAATTTCTTTGCAAGATTGGGAAAAGCTTTGAGTTGTAGCGATTAACAAAGATGGCCGACCAAGAAGCATGCTCCAGGATTGAACAGCGGTCAGTTATTAAATTTTTGGTTGCTGAAGAGTGCAAATCAGATGAAATTCATAGGAGAATGTCAACTGTGTATGGTGACTCAGGTTTCAGCCGAAAAAATGTCTACAAGTGGGCAAAATTGTTTAAAGAAGGACGGAGCAGTTTTGAGGATGAAGACAGGCCTGGGAGGCCTACAGAAGTGAGGTCTGCTGAGGTGATTGAATCAGTCAATGACCTCATTCAGTCGGACAGAAGGGTGACAGTGGATGACATTGCAAGGACTTTGAGCTTATCTGTTGGAGCGGCACCCAAAATTGTCCATGTCATCCACTGCTATCCTTCTGTCCGGCTGAATGAGGTCATTGACTGATTCGATCACCTCAGCAGACCTCACTTCTGTAGGCCTCCCAGGCCTGTCTTCATCCTCAAAACTGCTCCGTCCTTCTTTAAACAATTTTGCCCACTTGTAGACATTTTTTCGGCTGAAACATGTGCCAGCATACACAGTTGATATTCTCCTATGAATTTCATCTGATTTGCACTCTTCAGCAACCAAAAATTTAATAACTGACCGCTGTTCAATCCTGGAGCATGCTTCCTGGTCGGCCATCTTTTTTAATCGCTATAACTCTAAGTTTTTTTCAAACTGCAAAAAAATTACATCCATGTGAAAAAGAAGTAAAACAACAAAAATAAACAAATAGTAAGCTTCTATCTGTATTAAAAGACGTTATACCGAAAAATTCACCTTATTTATTGAATGACCCTCGGATTATCCCCTATTAGCTATACCGCTCTCCAGTCATTTTCCCTGGACTGCTTCAAAAAGACTACAATTTACGGGTGCAATCTATAAAACACATTGCTAGATGCAGCGGCTTGTCTAGAAATTCTTTAGTTGAGTTGATTATTTCTAGACATCATGTAATGATTTTTCTTCTAATGTATTAACTGATCGATTTCATCCACTTCACCAGTGATTTTTCCAAAACGATCTCTTTCTCTTCTACCCGTTCAAATTGCAGAATTTTATTCTCCTGCACGTCATCATATCGCAATACTGTTTTGCCTTATCTCTCACGATTGCTTGTTGACCCAACGAAAGTCACAAACATGCTGCGCGAGCGCTTGTTGGAGTAAAAGTTCTGCTATTTTACCCACTTTTTTACCTAAGCATACATACTATTATTATTCAGGTGTCCGCAGTGATGGTGTAAATGCTGAAAATGAACCCATTAGGGTACTTAAAGTTTATTTTGAATTGACTTGAAACAAAACGGTGCTCTACACCCAATCTACACATACTGTCCCCAGCTACAGTTGTAGTGCATCACTGAAGGACATTTGGTTGGTCTGGGGCTAGCGCCGGAATCTTGAACAACCCACCTTTCTCGGTACGCAGTGGGAGAGTATTCACTCTTCCAACCTCAAAGAAGCATTTAACAAAAGTAGCCTCCTACCCGACATCTGGGTTCATAGTGCGCAATGGACAACATCAAGACGGATTAGTACGTTAGTTGTAACTGCAGAAAGAGGTGGATGATTTCAAACATAAAATTCAGAAGACGTAGCTTGTGAGATCATGCCGTCATTTTGTGCATTCTTACCAATCACAAAACTATGTAATATTTGAACACAAACAAACGATGATCACAAATATAGCCAGCTGTCAGCCACTTTTGCATGCACAGCGGTGGTCGTTCGCGATCGATAACGATAGCCTCCAACAGCCTCGTTGAAAAGAGCGTACAACGCGGCGGAATTGCGGCTGCTCATCTCAACTAGGCCTTTGCTAATTTGTTCGATTAAGACACCGATGACAAAGCAGTGCATGTCCCACAGTCTATAGAAATGTACCTGTAGACTGTGGAGATAGCTACGTCGGGCGCATTAAACGAAGTCTAGGTGTCAGAATCAATGAACATATCCCAAAGTGGTAACGCAACCGCATGGGATCTGTTACGACGGAATCAATTGACTCGGGCAACCGAGCTACCTCAGCAGTCACCAGGCACCTGCTGGCTACTGGTCACCGGGTCAATCCTGAGGAATCGTTCGCAGTCCTAATGAGCGATCAGCGGCCCCAAATCCTTAGGCTGTGGGAGGATATCGTTATCGATCGCGAACGACCATCGCTGTGCATGCAAAAATAGCTGACAGTGGCTCAGAGCCCACTGTGGTAACCCATGTATTTTTCTATATGTGTGACCATCGTTTGTTTGTGTTCAAATATTACATAGTTTTGTGATTGGTAAGAATGCACGAAATGGCGGCATCATCTCACAAGCTACGTCTTCTTATTTCTATGTTTGGAATCGTAAAGATAGGTGTTTGTTGTAAGGTAGATGAACCGAGTACCTCTTACGATATTCTCCAGCGTACCGTAAAATTTGTCTCTGGAACCTCTTGTAAACTCAGCTTGTGATGTACGAACTAAAGAGAGAATGCAGGAAATGTTTCCCTTAAAGGACTTAGTCTCGACGTCTATTTCATCCACAAAAAGCTCCTGGCTACGAGCCATATGGTTGATCAGGTGAGTTTGTGAGCGTGGAGACCTGTGAGATGTAGAAGACCAATGCCATGGGGGACAACAGTTGAATATTGTGTCTACATCAGCCCTCTGGCAGCGAGACAACAGCTATGAAGGATGGATGTCACTGCATTCTCATACAAGTCCAGTTGACAATTGGGTGGAACGGTTCTGAGAGTAGTTCAGCAGGTCTACCGTAGCACCATCACGACTTTGGCGACTCGAATATCCGTGGAAAGAATCGACGTGAAACCTACATGTGGAAACGAGATGTGGTACATGGACCTGGTGATCGTCGTCCACCATTAGTGAAGGATAAAAAATATGAAATGGTGGCCAGTCCAGAATGGTATAGCAAAGTGGTGAATGTCACCAATTAACCTCAAACCTCCTTTTGTGATAATTCTCTAAACATCAGTCCTATTGGCACTGACTCGAATCCGCTATTGTAAAGGTTCACTAATACTCGTGAGCAGTGGCAGAAGAAACTTGACTAGTTTCTCCAATGATCACACAGTTGTGCTTCAAATGCTCTGACATCTACGTACACTCTGAATACCTGTCATGATGGACCTATTAGATTTGGAGGCTGTGTTTGCCTCAGTTGGTGATAGCAACTTGTGAAACTGTTCATGTCTGAAGCGTGTAGAAGGGAAATTTCATTATATGGTGAAAACGTCAGCGACTCCCAGATTCTAATAATAATCTGTGAAATGACCATATGAGATCCTCGCAATAATATGCCAAATATGTGGTGGAAATTTTTGTAAAGTGCTCCGTTCCTGGTGCGCCAGACAAAGAGGGCACAAAAATCGGAGTCGGGAAAATACACCTTACTGATCGTATAACGTAATCACGTGAACCGAAACGCGGGGAAATTAATTATGGTACACTAAGAAAAAGCAAAGCAAATGAATGCGAAAGAATTAATGCGATAATAATATACTTCTGCGGTAGAAATTCTGTTGGATGACGCACTCGTTAACCTACAGCGACTGAACAGTCCTCATAAGGTTGGACGCAATCCTCGTACTGGCACTCGATACCAGGTTAACATAGGACACCGCACGCCTCTGTACGTAGTACTGTTGCAGAACGGGGCCGGCGAGTGACCAGCTCTAGCACAGAACAATCACACGAAAGCATAGATCGATTTACCCATCGGAGTAATTGGATCATTCATGGTTGTGTGAATGACGAGGAACTCACATCGTGTATGCATAAGCCGCAGCTGGTTTTTAAAGCACAGCAATCTACATAAAAGTTGAATATCCGCTTATCAATCAAGTATAGGGTGTACAACGCCGCCATGCAGCAGATGTTATCGTTGGAACCAGGAACACAACCAAGCGGACTGTAAGTAGTAAAATAAATGGCAAACTTCACCGGTGCTTACAGGTTGTTTCTGCAGCGGAGCACGAAGGAATATGATCCACCATAGTGGCGTCTTTTGAGCTGGAACAGGCCATGTTAACTAAGTCGTACTCTTCCTATTCTTTCAGACTGTTTAAATCGTTACGCAGTGTATGTCGTTGAAACACCTAAATGGGTGAAAGTACGAGGTGGCCGGCCGACAACAGAGCAAATGAGTATGGAGAGACTGATTGTGTTTTCGTCACAGTAGTGGCTGTTGTCTTCTTCAATGGGGGCATCAGGACCGGATACCTCAGCGATCGGAGACCTTATCTAACATAGTTCAGTCGTGCAATCGACGGCGTTAGTGTATTCGTTCTATCGCATGCAGCTGTTAGCCCACCAACTTGATCAATTCCACCTACTGTTTGTTCTGGTTCACACTGGATTATTTGGGCATTGCCTAATTTTCACCATCAATGCCAAGATGGTAGCGACGTGGCACAGTAACCTGACCCACTTCATCTCGATGCAGTCAGAGAACATCCAGATTACCAATCGAAAAGGAAGTAGGTGTTTTTATTCGGCAGGAGGCGCATAACGCTCTCAAGTGAACTGGTGTGCATATGACACTTCCGAAAGACTTTCTCAAGCAAGATGCAAACTCTAAATTGGTGCAGGAATGTGTTACGTGCAATAATTCGACGAGCTTGTGGTGCTCGAAAGCAGAAGCTCGATTGAAATAGTTGTAGCTCCAGAAACGCGCTTGCACAGACTCAGTGAAAAGTGAAAGTGCAAGCAAAACTAACGGAGGAATATCGAGTGAACAATGGAGAGAATTAAGAACACCACGACAGACAAGGCGTACGGCGCTTTTGAGAATATGTTGAAGCGGAAAACAGGATAACTGCAAAGGAGGAACGGATAAAAAACATGGGCAAGATAGAGATGGAAGGGCGAGGTTTAAAGAGAAAAATCACCTGGCACAGGAGAACAGCATGACTGATCCTCTTGGAGCACAGTATGCACAAGTGATCAGTGGAAGTTTCGAGTTGCATTTTGAAAGGCTGAAAAGTAGAGTGAGAACAACACACCATACTAAAGCGGCAGTGATAGAACAGTAGAAAATAAAACTAGTGGATTGGCGCGTCACCAATAACAATAGGTGGTGCGAATGTTAAATCGTATTATTATGTCTCATGCGCGAAATGGGAAATGATAGAAATTAGTGAAGTCGAAAAGGACAATATGGAGACGAATCAAGTCAGCTAAGCTGATGTCAGTATGGTTGCCAAGACGCTGAGAGAGGTGGAGAACAGTAAACTTCGTGATTTCGGACTGAGATGAATGCAGTGTGGTGGTTTGCGTATTTGGTGCTCAACTAAGTGGCACTGAATTACACTTGCTGAGTGCCCAAGTTACACGTAACAAGCAAGTCGATCGCTACAGCACATAATTGTCCAGGAATCGACATGGAAAGCAATCGGAAGGAGCGCATAGTTCCTTTGTCTATAATAAGCAGCCGCTAAAGGTAACAGTTCACAGGTTAGGAACCGTGTTTGAATGACTGCAACAGGGCAGTAAAATATACCCGAATTAGTGCCAGGTAATGGACCGTTCAGCTGCGTCCAAGATCTTCGCTGTAACACGAATCATTCAGATCGCTTACCTAGCCGGATTCAGAGGTCAAGCAACTACCAATCGTAAGGAAAAATGACTGTAAACACCACACCTTGTTGAATGGAGATGAAAGCCGTTAGCGAATAATGCGTTGAAAACGAGTAAGGAAAAGAATCGAATGAGCCAGTGGAGCCGGAGCATGTCCCCTACAGGAAAGTAACACACGAGATCAAAGGTGCCAACGAGCACACAATGTTGAAAAGCTCAGCAGCAAAACCAAATGATACTCAAATTAACATTATATATATTGCAATGGAGCCTGGAATGATATAAGTAGAAGTTCATCATATATATATATATATATATATATATATATATATATATTCAGACAGCCATATGTGTGCTGCTCCAGAACTCGAAAAACCGTGCGCAAATACGGTATGTTTCCCAAGAATTCTCAGTTTGATGATTGGAAGACAAATATACAGACTGAGCAAGCAGTTTGGATGACAGACTAAGCAATATGAGTAAGCTGTTGGGAGCAAGTGAAGTGAGGGAGCCTCCTTGAGGTCACACTGACTCGTCGCACTTGCCTTTTTGAATAACTTTTCATAATTTTGCTACACATGATTGGGCTTACATTCGTTCAAGCAGGATTTATCAGCTCTTCAAGGTGGTCGATTACCTACCGGATTATTCGCATCGCCTCAAAGTTTGATTCACATCTGCGTTTTCGACGGATTTGTCTCGAAAACTTAAACGCACAACCAACTTAGCTTGAAGTACACCTTGGATTTTTGACACTAGTTCGAGAAAGCTTCCCCGAGCCGATAGAGTTAACTGGAAATCGTGCTTCTCCAATGCCATTTGAAGTCGCTGTCTCGTAGTTTGAAGCACGTTCCTGTTCACCCAGTGTTCAACCGGAATTGATTGGTAACATAAGGCCACTCACCATCCTTATTAATCTTGTCAGCCGATGCGTCTACGCAACCCACCACACGGACCGCGCATTCACACCGATCGCTAGGCTCCACTCACTTGAGTTTGATAACCACAAAGAGTGTTTTTGTAGAAAGTATAAGCCACGATTAAACTTTGCACAATCATCTGCCTCGAAGGTGAATCGAACCCCGCACGTACGGATTACCGGTCTGCTGCTCTACCGAAAAATGCACTACTCACAATACCACCAATAACGACAAAGATTGTCAGACCGATGTGTGGAGCGGCCAGTCGGAAAGGTACTGCACAACAATCAGCTCACTGGGCCAGGTAACGATACCACGCGGAATGATAGAAAACAAGTGAATTAAAATCTAAAAGGGCTCAAGGCAAAGGGTGGCTGTGGGTCAGGAGAATGTAATTGATTGGTCAAATTAGGGTTAGCCAAATTGCACTGTTCCAAACGATGTCGTATAAAGTGTTTTAAAGCGTCCCAATGAAAGAAGGAAGAGCGCCACGGTTTCCCAGACGTCATTTGGTTTTGTATTACGTATTCGACCACCACACTCGCAAAGTTAAGCCTAGCTTAGTCTAGAAATGCGACAGCTTGGCAGCAGAAACCAAGCAGCGGATGATCGCTAAGGTTACTTCAATGGAAGCGAGTCTGCGCCAGGAGAGCGTAGTTTTTGCTAAGCAAAAGAATGGTGCACAAGTTACTTCACCTGAACCACGATCATCAAAGTCCCCATCGCCGCTGTCTCCTCTAACGTTGGTAGAACTTAGACGAAAATATACCGTAACGGTGTTAGTGAAGCGGTACAGGGGTAGTGAAAAGCAGACAAAACCCAAGACGCGTGATCCATCAAGTTCTGTCGGTCTTAACAACTACTATCATTAACAAAGATGAGTTAGTCGAACACCGGCCCTCAGCAGCCGCAGCTCCAAGTTCTATTGCCCAAACCAAGCCCCCGGGATATCAGTCAAATATATTCAGAGATTGTTGCAAAGATCACCGAAGGGTCACACTTGCAACCTCTTCTGTTATAAACAACGCTAACTCGAACAAGGAGACAAACATCATGCAATCGTCGCTTGGGAGAACGCTAGGACCAAGGAGCACCCGACAATGCAGCACAAGGGAAAAGAAATGCAACACGAGAGCCCAGAATGCTGTGTGCACAAAAGTCCCTGAATCGGCAGCCAACACATTGCAGGGTAATTTGTCTGACGACCTAGAACAACTGAACTCATTGTACATTTTGATGAACGTCAAAGCTGAACCCACAAACCAAGTACGGACTAATTCAAAGCTGAATTTAGAGAGCACGATGTGTGGTTGGGTTGCCACTCGCAACCTCTATTGAGACCTCGGCTCACTGAGGTAAACCTCGGTCATTCCGATCTCGAAGACCGTATCCTGAATGGTCGTGGTAAGCCAGGGTTGGGAAGAGCAACACCCAAATATATCCAAGTACGGACTACATATCACCCGAACTCTGCAGACTACGGAGAACCGCGACATTAAAATCCGCCATTGCTATTGGAAACATTTAACTATCTGCAAGTGCGGAGCAACACGGATCCTGCGGAATATGCAACTATCCTGATGTCCGTTGCAGCGTGCAAAAATCGAAAAGAAATAACGAAAGACACAGCTAGCAAGATGACATAATCACAATCTTCAAACATGGTGTGTCAGAACTTCCTTACAAAGATAGTCAAGAGACCAGAGATAATGATGTGGAATAGTGGTGGTTCAATCGTGAAAAATCATTGCGCAAGATTCTGAGGAGATCGCTCAAAAGACTATCTGCTCAATTAATAGAGGATGCGGCTCGAGAATCCTAAAACTCGTTGTTCATTTAGGGTCAACAGCAACGGGCGTGTTAGGTTGTTGGCGGATAAATTGGAAAAGTTTTGCATCCTTCGGTTAAAGCCTGTGAAGAGTTTGCAAAGACTAGATATGGTAATGGGCGATTTCAACGCACAATGTTTAGAAACGACTGCACGAGGGGAGAACAATTCAGAGCCGATCTGCAAGAGCCCTCAACCGGAGTCTCACTTTACAATCACGTCATTTAGCCTTTTACGTTCAAAACAGGTAAGGGGCCGTCTGTGCTGGATCTAGTGCTTACCAACGAAGAACACAGGATTGAAGTGTTTGTTTTAGACTGTCCTTTGAGCTGCAGCGAACACGCAGTCATTAGTGTGAACATTACTACTACGAGGAATATCGAAATGAAACCATGATTCAGTGCGCAGCATCACACGCTACGATAGACTAAGCCAGCTACTGTGTCACAACATGGTCGTTTCACACTGAAGGCCCCTCCGGAAGTCGCCTGACTCGAACACATCAACAAATTTAACCGACTGATTACAGATGCTTCAGATACAAGATTTTGCAACGAGCCTAAAATGTTTCTTTCGTAAGGAGCAGAACTTGACTCTGGATGGCAGCACGCAACGCAGGATGGCGAGCGTATAAATCAGCTCCAAAGCCAGAAAGTTGGGAAGACTACGTAAACAAACGTAACCACTGTACTCAATTTCTTATAAAAGACAAAATTGCATATTAGCAGAACATCACAAATACTTTCAGTGCTAATCACGAACTGCTGTACACACTAGTCGACGGCCTTCGTTAGGTGAGGTAGGGAGTTCCTCTACTCAGGACGCCTGATAGCTCAACAAGTAGAGCTACATAAGTAGAAAACGCGTTGCGAGCGCACTGTGCTCACACATCTCAGAGGATCTTGACATTAGGGGATCTTCCAGCCTTATTGTTCCGCCGCTAGAACCCACGTACTTCTCTTTTACTGCTGAAGCTGATGTCCCTATGTAACCACAGCTCCCCGGGTGTCGATGCCATTCGAAGAGAGGCACTGGGAGCAGCAGCAAGACATCTGGCAGAACTTTTGGCTCAATTCTTCCAGCGCTGCTTAGACCAGAATCAAGATTCAGTCATGTGGAAGATTGAAATAATAACTGATTCACAAAGGCCGAAACAGCAATAAAACAAACTTCCGCCCAGCATTTATTCCGCATGTACTGTTCAAGGAAATGGAATCCATCGTTGCCAATACGTTAGTGTGTTATTTGGAAAATTGCTCTTGAGCAGCACGACATTCGTTGACAGCGACTGTGCACAACGAGTTTACTGATTGTACGCTGGAGAAGACGTTGACGCGAAGTACCCGGATTTTTCGAAGGCATTCGGTTGTCTAGATCATCGGATACACCTTTATAAGCACCAGTTTTACGAGATCAATAACCTTCAGTTAAGCTGGATAGCCAACTTTCTCCTGCAACGAGAATTAGTGGTCAGAGTCCGGAATTACTTATCTGACCTCATACAAGTCGAGCTTGGTGCGCAGCAAGGTTCAGGTATAGGGCCACCACAGTTTTTGATATTTATTATTGACCTCGCTCTTCAAATTACCTACTGCTTTCCGACGTCTTCAACATAGGGTGCAGGATACAGGTGAATATCGACCAGCATCTG